CTTCTTGAGGGTCTCATTTTCCACCATTAGTGAGGCATCACAAGAGAGACCATCACTCAAAGGTGAAGTGGAAGTGGTAGTGCTACAAGAAGAGTTAGTGGGAGCAACTACAATGGGCTTAAGAAAAGATTCATCAATAAGATCACAACTTAGTCCCACATCACATGATACGATCACTTGCTCCTTCTTGGCTTCCTCCACTTTGACTTGCTCAATGAGAGAGGAGTGAGTCTTTTCAAGCTTAGAGTGAGCTTTGCCAAGCTTCTCATGGGCTTCCATTAGCCTCTCATTAGTGGCATTGAGCTCATCAAAGGATTGCTCAAGAAATTTTACCTTCTTACGTAATTCTTTGCACTCCTTTCTCTTTATCTCATTGCAAGCGTGCACTTGCTCGCACATGTCCAAGAGTTCTTCCTTGGTGTACTCCTCATCCTCATCATCATCATTATCATCATTCCTACAAGTATAACTTTCACATTCATCGTCATCACTCACATCATATTTTACCTTGGTAGGTTTTGCCATGAGGCATGTCGATGGAGTGTCGAAGATGGAGAGCTTGTCGTTGATGGCGATGCTTGCTAGTAATCTCTTGATAGATTTCTTGTCATCATCACTAGAGCCATCACTATCCGAAGAGCCATCACTATCCCATGTGACCACATAGCCTCCACCTTTCTTCTTCTTTTGGAAGGTCATTCTCTTCTCCTTCTTCTCCTTCTTTTCTTTCTTATCCTTTTTGAGCTTCTTCTTCTCATCCTCATCATTGTCACTATTGTAGGGACAACTTGCTACAACATGATTGGGGCTCTTGCAATTGTAGCATCTTCTCACATATTCTTTGCTTTTGGTGTGATCTCTTCTCTTTCTTGCACAATAGCCCTTCTTCTTCATGAATTTTCCCATCTTGCGGACAAAGAGAGCCATAGCTTCATCATCAATATCACTAAGATCATCATCATCACTTGATTCTTTCTTGGACTTGCCCTTGTTCTTGGATGATGATGAACTAGCCTTGAATGCTATACTTTTTTTCTTCTTGTCTTCTTCTTCCTTCTTGTCATCCTTGTCATCCCCCTCCCTTTCCACACGGTATGTCTCTTGGGTCATGACATCACCTAGTACTTGGTTGGGGGTAATCTCCTTCAATCCTCCTCTTATGATGAGCAATCTCAACATCTCAAATCTTGGAGGTAGGCACATCAAGAACCGATGAGAGACATCATCATCCTTGATCTTCTCTCCCAATACCTTTAAATCATTGACAATCACTTGCAAACGATGGAACATCTCCAGAATGCTCTAATCTTCCTTCATCTTGAAGCTTGTCAATTTATCCTTGAGGATATACAACTTGGCACTCTTCACCGCCGGTGTGCCCTCATATGTTTCCTCCAATCTCTTTCACACCTCATTTGCTCTTTCATAATCCTTGATTTGCTCAAACACCTTGGAATCAATGGCATTGTATATGGTGTTGGGAGCCATTATATTGCATTGCTTGTTGATCTTATCTTGGTTGGTGGGATCATCGGGATCAATGATAGCATAGTCATTCTCGGTCACTTCCCATACTTGATCATTGATTGAACCAAGATACATCCTCATCTTTCTCTTCCAATAATCATAGCATGTGCCATCAAAGAATGGTGGTTTGCCCCCCACATGGTTGAACACAAATTGAACCATAATTTGACACCGAGGTTGTTAAGCCTTTAATCAAATGGTGACCATGGCTCTGATACCACTTGAAAGGTCCTAATATGGCTAGAGGGGGTGAATAGCCTATTTAAAAATCTACAAATCAACTAGATCAATTTGATTAGTAAGACAAATAGCGAAATGCAAACTTGCTCTAGCTCTACGAGGGTTGCAAGCCACCTATCCAACAATTCTTGTTGCAATGATTACTAGACACACAACTTACTATGATACTACTCACTAAGAGCTCTCAATCTTGTTACACTAAAGAGCTCCACTAGATGAACTTAAAAAACAAATCAAGCTCTCAATTCTAATTACACTAAAGAGCTTGCCACAACTAGTTTGCAAGACTGTAAAAGAGTGAGTAGGGTGATTATACCGCCGTGTAGAGGGATGAACCAATCATAAGATGAATATGAAATCAATCACCGGGAGAATACCAAATAGCAAGAGACAACCAATTTTCTCCCGAGGTTCATGTGCTTGCCAACACGCTATGTCCCCATTGTGTCGACCAACACTTGGTGGTTCGGTGGCTAAAAGGTGTTGCACAAACCTCGTCCACACAATTGGACACCGCAAGAACCTACCCATAAGTGAGGTAACTCAATGACACGAGCAATCCACTAGAGTTACCTTTTGGTGCTCCGCCGGGGAAGGCACAAGACCCCTCACAATCACCATGATCGGAGCCGGAGACAATCACCAACCTTCGCTCAACGATCCTTGCTGCTCCAACCCGTCTAGGTGGCGGCAACCACCAAGAGTAACAAGTGAATCCCGTAGCAAAACACGAGTGCCAAGTGCCTTTAGATGCAATCACTCAAGCAATGCACTTGGATTCTCTCCTAATCTCACAATGATGATGGATCAATGATGGAGATGAGTGGGAGGGCTTTGGCTAAGCTCATAAGGTTGCTATGTCAATGAAAATGGCCAAGAGAGTGAGCTTGAGCCGGCCATGGAGCTTAAATAGAAGCCCCCACAAAATAGAGCCATTGTACCCCTTCACTGAGCACAACATAGGGTGACCGGACGCTCCGGTCATATTGACCGGACGCTGGAACCCAGCGTCCGGTCGCCCGATGCATGCCACATGTCATCGGCTTCAAACGATGATCGCCCGATCTCAATGGTCAAGTGAAGACCGGACGCGTCAGTTAGAAAGTGATCGGACATTGGAGCTCAGCGTCCGGTCGTTTCCAGTAAGGTTCCAAACGTGAATTTTCATGACCGGTCATGCCCGACCGGACTCACCCAGTGTCCGGTCACTCAACGTCTCCTTTGTAAGCCTCACGTCAACAGTCGTCGACTTTCAACCGGACGCACCACCCAAATACCGGTCGCAGAAGCGACCCAAAGTGTCCGGTTGTTTGACCGACGCCAGCGTCTTCATTATTACACTGGACGGACGCGCCCGGTCCAACGAGGTTAGCGTCCGGTCACTTCCAATGACCTCCGTCTTTTCTGTCTAGGGCGCCCGGTGCACTGCTCGACGGTTCCGCACTCTCTGGCGGGACACTCCACCGGTGGAGTTTCTTACCCTTGCACCCAAACTTCACCACCCTTGATCAAATGTGCCAACCACCAAGTGTATCACCTTGTGCACATGTGTTAGCATATTTTCACAAATCATTTTCAAGGGTGTTAGCATTCCACTAGATCCTAAATGCATATGCAATGAGTAAGAGTATCTAGTGGCACTTTGATAAGTGCATTACGATACGAGTTTCACCCCTCTTAATAGTACGGCTATCGATCCTAAATGTAATCACACTCACTAAAGCCCCCTTTGGCACGGCTCATCCAAAACGGCTTCACCGGTGAAGCCAAAGCCGATGAAGCAAGAAAAATGGCTTTTTCCGGCTTCTAGTTCATTTTAACCCTGGCTTACAAAATGGCTTCACTCTATAGTGCCTCGATTTGCGCAAAATAGATGAAGCCGAAGCCGCCATAAGCCATGCCAAAGAGGCCCTAAGTGTCTCTATCACTAAAACAAAATGACTCCTACTATTTATACCTTTGCCTTGAGCCTTTTGTTTTTCTCTTTATTCTTTTCCAAGTTCAAGCATTTGATCATCACCATGCCATCACCATCATCATGATCTTCGCCATTGCTTCATCACTTGGAGTAGTGCTACCTATCTCATAATCACTTTGATAAACTAGGTTAGCACTTAGGGTTTTATCAATTAACCAAAACCAAACTAGAGCTTTCAGGCGCGTCCAGGGGGGTGACGCCCAAGACTCTATAATTAGTAGTCGTTGCTCTCCTTAGGGTTTGGGTTTTGTTTTGTTCTTGATTTCCTCGTAAAACAGACGTCGTTTTGCTGCAACTGTCGCCGCCAAGGCCGCTTGCTTTGAACCAGGGCCCCAGTTCTTGATCTTGTTCGCCTGTGGCGATTAGTCCTTTCGAATAAAGACTTGAACTCCTTATTTTCATAAGCCTCATATTTATTTGTAATTTCAGATTACGTTCATCTCGTTCTTGCTTGTGTTCTCAATTCGCTTGCAGGAAAGCCTTCTCGTCGAGGTCAATCGCGTTCGCGTGGTTGATAACCAATGGAGCAGTGGTGTAACGGTTGTGGGGGTCCGAATCAGTCTTGGTTTGAAGCCTAGATCATGAATGTCAAGTCTCCATCAATCAACGCTATCATACCTTTCGAAAGATCAGGCCTAGTCTACAACATATTTGACTCATTTAACCAATGTTCTGGGACAATGTTTTCAAGTCGTCTAGTCGAACCTAGTCGCTATGGGACCGACCAGGAGACTAATCGCGATTAGTCATTGACCAGGCCGATTAGTCGAGCCTAGTCAACCCTTGGTCATCCTATATATCAGGACATATATACCTACTATATATATACCTATATATACTATATAGCATACACAATAAAGCAAGCATCAAGACTACATTAGTGTTTAGCTGGTGACTTAATTGTGGGAGTTGTTTTCTTCTCTTTTCTGCCATGTCCAGAGGTCCATATTCCTGTCCCAAACTCTATTTCTTTACTGACTTGCTGCTGGAAGCCTAAAATACCAAAGAAGACCATAATTAGCAACACTAATGTAGTCTTGATCTTGACACAGCTCAACAACAACACTGCTGCATTAGCAAGCACTGCTGCAGTAGCAAATAACTAGCATTTAGTAGTTATCACATAGCAGACCATAGCAGCCACATAGCCAGCATATTACATAACCAAACAAGTTCAGTACACAAGCTAAAGTGTTCAACACAGGGTCACAAACATTGACATTTAGTAGTCCAACAAAAGTAGGCAACTAGCCATCTAATTAAGCAAATCAACATTAAAATTGAAGCTTCCATCTCCATCTCTAGTTGGTCCATCTCTAGTTTCAGTTGGTGCATAATCTTCATCCTCCTCCATTGCTATTGCTGAATCTACATGCTGATCTTGGTCTTCATCATCAACTTCATCAATATCTTGAGTCACTGTGTTCCTTGGACGCTTCCTGTTCCTAGCATAAGTACGCCTCACAGGGGCAGCAACAACAGCACGAGTAGCAGCAGCCCTAGGCAAGTTATGTCCCTCTAGACCCTGAGTTGCACCAATAGCCTCATCCACAATAGCCCAAGTCATAGCATCGCCACCACCTTCCTGAACTGGTTCTGGTTCACAATTTTCATTGACCCATTCATTTTCCCAATGAAATTCATCAAGCAAGAGTGGATTGCATCTCTTTCCTTTGGAACCTAGCTCTCTAATTTTCTTAAATCTGTTTTTCATCTTGCGGTTGTAACTGACATATACCAACTTATTTAACCTTTGGTGCTCTAATCGATTTCTCTTTTTTGTATGAACCTACACAAAATATAATGCAGAATCACATATCAATATTACTACCATACTTAATTACTCAGCAGTAGTACGCTAGCACTTACAGCAGAAAATTCACTCTAACTACGCTCACATCCAGATGCAGCGCAACAAAGGCTAACAATCCTTTTTGCTAAACATTGGAGCTCATATGTGAGGCCACCATATGCACCCCACCAAAGCACTTTAATTTCCATTTCAAACATAGAATTCCATTATTAGTTCATTGCTGATTGCTTTTAGAAAAAGGGAAGGAAATAGTTATTAGAGAACTTACTAGGATTTTTTCTATCTCTTTCTCTTATTGCTCCTGGCTGTGAGAAGGATTCGCCTTCAGCCCTCTCATAGTCTTCTACCTGCTTGCTTATCTTGTTCTGCTCATCATCTTCACTCACCATCTTCCATATAACTTGATTAAACATGATTCTCAGCCTTCCTGCTTGTCTCTTATCCTTTTCCTTTAGGGCAAAGAACTTGCTTGGATTCAAGTATAGGGCTGCTCCATACAGATGCTGCTCCATTTGGTTTTCCCATCTGTTGTTATAGTATTTTAGTACCTCTTTGAGTAAATCTGGTTTGCGTTGCAAAGAATCCTTTATTGCGGCCTTTGCAACATCCATGGCTGCCATAATCTCAGGAGCTGCTGGTGTCTCATCTCCATCTACTATCCTTAGAGCTACAAGAAGTGGTTGTGAAGCTCTTAGGCATAATTCCACTTTATACCAAAATGGCATTGAAAGGATAATGTTCTCAACTCGTCGGCCTTCTTGAATGGTATAGAAACTGGTAGCATGACATTCATCACTAACCACTAAATTCCTCAATCCACTCTTGTTCTTATGCAGGCTTGCCAATGTGAGAAATGAAGTGGCAAAGCGAGTTATAGCTGGCCTCACAAGATCTCCTCCAATCTTATTTCGCATTAGATCTAGAACCCTCCCATGCTTGTACATGAATCTGGTCACCTTCTGTGCCATGTTGATGCAAGTGTGGAATTCCTTGATCTTCCCAATATCCTCCAACAACAAATCCAAGCAATGGGCTGCACATGGTGTCCAAAATAGATGTGGGATCCTCTCCATTAAAAGCCTCACTGCTGCCTTGAAGTTGGCTCCATTGTCAGTGACAATCTGCACCACATGTTCCATCCCAACCTTATCAATTTGCTTCTCCAACAAGTCAGCCAACATAGGTGCATTTGCTATCTCACTTGAAGCATCAACAGACCCTAGAAAGAAAGTCCCTGTTGGACTGTTAGCAAGGAAATTGATGAGATGGCGGTGGCTTGTGTCAGTCCACCCATCGGACATTATGGTGCAACCATATTCCTTCCAAGCCTCCTCATTCTTCTTCCTCAACTCCATTGTTCTATTCATAGCTCTTTCAAGCAGCGGAATCCTAACATCATGATATGATGGTGAGCAGTACCCAGGACCATATTGTCCAATTGACTCAAGCAAAACTTCCCAGTTTCTTGAATTAATGACGTTCAATGGAATGCGATTCTCATAAAAGAAATCGGCAACATGATCATCAACAATTACTTTGGCCTCCTTATTTTTCTTTGTGCACTGCTCAAGTGTAGGTTGACTTTGCTTGGATTTGTGCCTCTCTAGAACTACTTCTTCTGGTGACTTGCAAAGCATGGAACTCACTGACCTAGACTGTTTTTGAGTTGCTGGTTTTGCTGCAGCAGAAACAGTGAAAGAAGTGATGGCAGCCTGAGTAATCTTCTTCTTGGCTTGCTTAACTTTTGTTCCAGAACTTGGTACTAGTACAGTTGCAGGTTCTTCTGCACCAGTAGCATCTTGTTCATCTTCATCTTCTGTAGGTACCTCCACAAGAACAGTCCTTGAACTCTTTTTCAAGTAAACAACCATCTCTTTCCTAACTATTGCTGGAGGATTAGGACATTTTATTGCATCTCCATACCCCCCAGCAAGGTGCTGCTTGAATCTACATATTCCGGCTGGCACTACCTTCCTGCAAAATATGCACTGCACAAAGTCCTTGGAAGGATCTGGCCACCACCCATATTTGCATCCTGGGTCTTGAGATCTTGCCTTTCTCTTTTTGTCAATAGCTTGGGCAGCAAGATCTAGAGGTAGTTTTGCTATAGCCCTCTCAATTAGGGAAGGAATATCTTCCAGAGTATATGAGGAAGCCGTGGCAGCAGGATCTGGCCCAACTGATGAATCTGGAACACCTCCTTCAAAGTCAGGCGGAGGCATGTACACTTCCACATTGCACATCATCGGTCCACATCTGCAGAAGAACAACTTCTTAGGATGGACGATGGAGAGCCAGAGAATAGCAAAGGGACAGCAGTACATCACAACAAGCAACCTAACGGTTTAGCCGAGAGCCAGAGAGGCTGCAGAGTGAGGGATGGGGGAGGAGGGAAGAAGATGGAGAGGGGAAAGGCACATACCGTCGTCGGAGTAGCTCATCACGAAGAATGGTGACCACTTGACCTGGCAGAGGGCGCCACCAGCTACACAACTCACTAGAGAGGAGAATAGTGTGCGAGGGAGGAGAATAGGTCACCAAAGACAGGGAATAGAGCGCGGGGGAGGAGGAACTGCGCGCGGGAGGGAGGAATTGTGCACAGGAGGGAGGAAACGCCCGCGCGGGAGACTGGAGGCGCACGGGGGGAAATTGCGGCGTGTGCCTGCATGCCTCCTACTTTTTGGTGTCTATTCTAACCCTAACAAACCAAATTGCAAGCCCAATAGGCCACATATAGGCCTGGTTAAACAGGCCCAAAAAATAGAGCAACCAAACTAGTCGTCCCTGTCCTAGTCGGACGATTAATCGCGATTACTCTTCGATTAATCGGACGACCAGCTTTCTGATTGAGCTGGTTGCCTCGGTACCCCAAATCGGTCACTAAGGACCGATAAGGATGATTAGTCATGATTAATCACGATTAATCGGACGACTTGAAAACATTGTTCTAGGACCATTGGTCTCATTTGTACTGCAATTTCAGCAGCCAAATTCTGAATTTCATCTCTTTTTGATAAGTTATTCAATTATTTTAGATTGAAATGCAATACTACTTTATTAGTCACCAGCCTTCGAAATATTTGTATATGTTACATACTTCATTAAAAAATTGCTCGAGCACATAAATATTTGGCAATTTGTTCTATACATGATATTGAAAACTTCTCGAGCACATAAAAAATTGCTCATTTGGTCCTTATATATGATCTAAAGGCTGAAGACTTTCTAAGTCTAAACATGTAAATATATGCCAAATTCCTTGTTGGAATCAACTTATGTGTAGATCACATATTTGCTACATGCAACCTTTCTTGATTAACCTTACTCCTATTTTGGTAGACTTAAAGTTGTGGTAGCAAAAATATTTTTGAAATCAAGGTTCCTATTAGGTTTACTCATTATGTGGTTGTTTATTAACTGCAGGGCAACGTGGAGAGCCAGAAGAATTAAAGGATGATGCATGCCTAGTGTTGCTGGTGCTTCTTCATGGTGAATGAAGAGATGATTAACTGAAGCCATACTTCAAGTGAAACAAGATATAGTTCTTTTGCTATGTCAACCATAGTCTGAGAGGATGGTTTTATTCTAGTGTGCTCATGTTTACTTTAACATTATGATGATTGTACCTTCTGGTTGAGAGATACATTCAAGTTAATGAAAGATTAATTTTATATATGTGATTGAAATTTATAATAGTGTTATAATTATTTTGCATCAACAATATATTATCAAAATATCGATATGCAATTGGCATGACCAAGAATCTTGTCACAATAAATGGAAATGCAACAATTGTAGCTTGTTGCGTACCACTTGTTGCAATGAAACAATTTACGTGGCAACATAAGTTCTTGCAATAAAACATTGTACGTGGCAATCATGGATATAGCCACTAAGTGATTTTTGTTGCAGAAGATCAAATTACGGATACTGCCCTTGCTTCTCTTCCATCACGGGCGAAATATCATGAGAAATCAATGGTCAACGATTGAGCATTAATGAACAAACACTATTTGTTGTGTTGTGTTCTTTTCTCAGTATCAGTGGTCGTGCCAAGAAGGCAATTTCTAGCAAGAAAAAGAGGCAGAGTCATGCACATGACTTTGATCCAGATGATCCTAACTTGGCTCCAGATCTCAGTGAAGATGTACTGACTACTGAGAGCTCAATGGCAGGTGGTGCATCAAATCAAGTTAATGAAGATGATGAATCTGACTATGAAATAAATGTTCTTGCTTATGATGGATCTCATAGACAATATAGTGCTGAAAAATATGGGCATGCAAGAAATTCATATCAGTGTGATTTGGAAAATGGTGCATGAATTCCTCAGTTTCGTACACAAGTTCAGCAAGATGCATACTTTGGGCGCCTCTTGAATTGCACCATGCACAAGCATTAGTACATAGAGCTAGAATTCTTGCAAGAATTCCCTCATGCAGAAGGACTGATTGCATTCTAGTCTCAGGGAATGGTTGAGTTCCTCAAACGTAAATGTGATTAGAATGACTTGATAGTCAGACAGTTAAGCTACCATGAAGATAAATCCAACAAAAAAATAATGAGAAGATTGAATGGGTCACCAGAAAAAGATGTTACTCGGCAATATTTGAAGAATTATGTGGAGCAAACAAGTTGAATGATGAGTTCTATGTTGGTAGCATCAACATTGACACTAAATCTCTACCCCGAGAAGATTAATATGAGCATCCTTGTACTGAAATAGTAAGAAAGATTGGCTTTATGAATTGTTTGAGGCATCATCTAGTTGCATGGACTGTCTGTCGATGTCATGTGCTCTGCAAGTGTTAGAAATTGAGCTAGGAGAGCTGGAATTGAGCTAGGAGAAGCTCAATATCCACTACAGTTCTAGAAATTGGAAAAGTTTGTTTCCTCTCTGTCTCCTTTTTTTTGAGCAAATCCTCTCTCTCTCTCTTCTAGCCGCTAGGCTATTTTCAGCCCACCTTTTCCTAGCTACTCGGGCCAATCCCAGCTTCTGCCTTTCCTTCCCGCGCCCCAGCTCCTCCTTGGTCCCTGCCATCGCAGGCCCAGTGACAGTCTCCTCCTCCTCCCTCTCTTCATTGCTGGGCCGTAGCCAATTAGGCCCTGACCGCAGGAGAGCTGGAACCTAAGCAGCAGGAGCCGACGCCTCTTCGATCGAACGCCGCCAATCCCTATCCGATTCCGGTTCTACCGCGAGGGCCAAAAGGTTTGGCTTGGCGCTGCTATCTTCTGCGGTTCTGCCGAGAGAGGCGCCGCCCTGAACCGCTTTTCCAAACTGAGTCGCATGGACCCTTTGCCCTAACTCTCGTAAATTATACAGTAGTTATCATAATCCAACGTGATCATAGAATATGAGAGGCAGCTCGAGCCTCTCCCGGCGAACTACAGTGGCAGACGCAGCTATTGGTGGGTGGTGTGAGCACGCGCGGCTGAACACGGTGTCTCAAGGTGGATTATTGCTGTGTTGCACTCTGGCAGACGCAGCTGAGCGGGGCCGTCTCACAGTGGATTTGCACCTGTGTCATCTCCTGTGCCTACGTGTGTCGCCGGTGGTAGGAGGCCACTTCGCCGTTGTGCGGCCACTCCGGCTATGGAGTCATGAAGGTCACTTTTCCCTTCTCGCTCAAGCAGGTGAGCACGGAGGCTGCAGCCTGCAAAAGCCAGGGTGAAACTTTACCTTTTCGTCAGTTCGGGATTGGGGACAATACTGTGAAGTGGAGAATTTTTCTGTGATTTTTAGTGGTGGTTATGGTTCTCTTTGTGGCATGGGTGCATATAATTTTAGGTTGATTCTAGGGATCTGAGAGATTTGTTCGTATATATGATATGGATATATTTTATTTCTGTTTGACTTAGGAAGCTCATGCTGAAATTGATCCAGTGTTAGTCTCCAAACTTTGTCTAGCCTTTCTTACGACCTCTATAGCAGCAGTTGCTGATGTAATGATGTTCATGTTGGGTCGGGACTCAGACTTTCAATTCCAACCCTCACGAGCGACGTGTGTTCTACGAACGATTACAAGGGGTAATCTTGGAAGGAAAAGAAAAGCGGGTTGAAAAAAAACGTCTCACTCTTAATATTAGGTAGTGATCTAATAATTCCGTACAAAAAGAGCCATCAAGCTTCAAGATTGTATCGTGGTTGCTAGTCTTGCTACCCTTCTTTGTGGAACTTGTGATGATAGCCACCTAGGAGCTGTGAAAACTCCGAAATGACAAGATCTTTGAAAGAAGACAACCGAGTGATAATCTTCGGTTCTCTAACTTCAAGAACTAGATTATTCTCCGTTCTATCTGTTTCAAGGAAGATATTAGATCTTTCTTTATCTTTTAATTGGATGCTATTAGTTAATTCTTCCTTGTTTGTTTCAAGCTCTATAAGTATGTGGCCCACCCCTGTTAATATTTTTAATCAAAGTAATATGGGGACTCGTCCACAGTTTTTTCCTTCAAAAAATGTTGTAGTGCTTGACAAGATTTAAAATTTTATAGTTAAATTTTTTTATTTAATTTCAGTGGTTGCTAAAATATTTAATACAATATTATGAAATGTTGATTAGAAAAAGAAAATTGCATATATATACTCAGAAATTAGTGTGTAGTGCAGTGGTTAGGGAAGTGTTAGATGAGTCTTGAGAAACACTTTACAAAGATAGGCATAGCAATCGAGAAAGACAGACATGTCGACCGCCTCTCTGTAAAGGCCGTTCCAGTGACCATTCCTTAAAGACGGACAGTTTGCACGTCTCTAAAACAAAATTATTCGTCTATGGAAATCTTTCTAGTAGTGACTGCTTGAAAGTTAATAAAAGTTTCCTTTATAAAACAATCAATTGGACCAAGTCTATTTATCATTCCAACAGAAAACAACACGCTTTGATGAAGCACGACTGAATTATTGTACATATATAATTAGATTATTCTCGGTGGTGCCAGAAGAAGCTTGTACCCAGCGGCGGATCCAGGAAAAATTTTAGGGGGAGGGAGGAGGGGCTGAACAAGAATGCGACAGCAACATACCTCCGACTGCTGCTTGATCTTAAGTCTCAGCCCCACCTACACGATAGAACATTATGCTCCCCCCCGTTTGAATCCCCCGCTGCTTGTACCTTGTTTAATTATGCGCAGTGTTGTGGTTGCTAGTAGGTAGCGCACGGAGCAGCATGGTAGCAGATCGCATACGCGATGAATGGATTGCTAGCTCGATCATGCTTGTTTCTAGATTATAAATCATGTCGTAATATGACTAAATCTTCAACGTAAACTATGTTTTAGATCAAAAGCAAGCTGTAGTTAATGATGTTTTGGTCTCTCGAACCTGCTGATACACAGACAGCCGGCCGTTTATATTTTAAAAAAAGAATAACATTCAGAAATTAAACCACGCGCGGCCATGTTTGGAACCCCATGTTTGGAACCCTATAAATAGTATTTATCTGCTAATAATTATCTCTTTTGGATCCAAATATATATAGATCATGGACCAGCTAATTGTTAGTTAGATTTTAGATAACAACTATCCCATCAGTATGATCAAATCAGATAATTAATGAGGTATTAGCTAGCTAATAACTATTATCAGATAATGGATCCAAAATAGAACCTTAACAGCTTGATATTAGAACGAACTTAGTGCATGCATACAAGTAAGCAAGCAGTCATCAGAGTCTACTGCTTGCACGATCACATTATTAATAATACAAGGACGAACTTATAGTATTACAAATCAAAGCATGCCTGACTTATTGTATATAATTATTCGGTACCAGAACAAGCTTTTTCAAGCTTGTACCCTATTTATTTATGCGCAGTGGCGTAGTTGCTAGAGGCATGCAGTTGCAGGTAGCGCCCGGAGCAGCATGGTCTCCAAGGTAAGGCCAGGACCGAACGCAATGACCATCCCCCACTCCAGGCCTTCCCCTGCCGTGCTCAGCCCGTGCTCCGCCGACCTTGTCCGCATCTCATCCATCACCAGGAAGATGGAGGAGCTTCGGGTGTTCCCGTACTGCCTCATCACCTCCCTTGTTGCAGCGAGCTTCTCCTCCCGCAGGCCAAGCCTGGCCTCCACGCCGTCCACGATACCCCTGCCGCCCGTGTGCAGCATCCAGAACGCCTCGTTCCAGTCGGCCATGGACGCCGTGGCGGCGTTCCCCTGCAGGAACGCGCGCTTCACGGTGCTCCCGACGTGGCTAGACACGTGCAGGGGCACGTCGCGGTGCATGGTGATCACGACCCCTTCGTCGCGAAGCTTGACCACCACGGCGTCTTCGGTGTCGGGCAACACGTCCTGGGACGCCGCCACCAGCTCGAACACGGCGCGCTCGCCGGCCGCCAGGCAGCACCCCACGACGACGGCGCCTGCGGCGTCGCCGAAGACGGCCTGGCCGACGAGGTTCCCGATGTGGGACTCCGAGGGGCCTCGCAGCACCAGGGACATCACCTCGGAGGTCACCACCAGTACCCTGGCGCCCGGGTTGCTCTCCGCGATGTCCTTGGAGACGCGCAGAGCGGTGGTGCCGCCGTAGCAGCCGGCCTGGTACAGCGTCACGCGCTTGGTCGACGGCGGGAGGCCGAGGAGCTTGATGAGGACGCAGTCGGCGCCGGGCAGGCAACCGGTGCTCGTTGTCGCGACCACGAGGTGGGTGATGTCGGAGGCCGGCTTCCCCCAGTCCTTGATGGCGTCGAGCGCAGCCTCCGCGCCGAGACGTGGTATGCCCTCCTCGGCGACTTGCTGCCGCAGGGTGAGCGAGGTGGACATGTACGCCGTCACCGACGGGTTGCTCCGCAGCCACTCGTCGGATACGTACATGTGCCGCTTCTCCGTTGCCGTCTTCTCGCCTGCATGCAGATGAGTGATTAACGTAATGGCCTGGGTACGGTGTTCACAGGCAAAATGAATATTTGTGCACTTACAGATTTTTTCAAACTTGGCTTTTAGATCGACCAGGTGATTGCTATTGGTTATCTCGAAATAATACTCAGGAAATGTCTTCTGCTCATACACATGGACTGGAACAGCTTTGCCAATTCCAAGTATAGCGGCCTTCCCACCAGCACAAGGACTGCCCATTTCCTGACTCCCCATAACCTACCACACTATACGTGTTGACAACTAAACTGATGCGGATATAAAAATATGTAGTAGTATGGTCTAGCTTTGAGATCTCTCGGTGTTATATATAGGGGATCTGGTATGGGACATTAGGCTCTCCACGGCGTGGACTAGTGCCCGGAAAAAAATCGGACCCCTCACTAAGAAAGTTGGCACCACCCTTCAAACATCACCGTATGTTGGCATCACTAGTAGTGTCCAAAAAACCTGTTGCATGCCATTTTCACTGCAAAAAGTTGTTGCATGCTCTCCTCCCTACTGCGGGTCTCTCTACTTCTCTCTCCACAGCACAAATAGGCACCGGCCCGGCGCAATTACATTCACCGATCACTACAAGAGAAATGACCTTTCGTCCATGGCCAAAAAGTATTTAATCCTTGTTTAAAATTATAACCGAGACTTAGTCATAGGTTTCTCTTGTACTGTACTAAAGGAAGACCTAGGACCTTTAGTCTCGATTTGTAATTATAAGGGGTTATTTCTACATCTGCCTAACTATTATGCCTCTCGACCAACCCGTGTCAGTCCCGACTGACGCAGGGTCCTCAGGAGAGTGCTATTCGCACCTCCTCTTCAAGATCTTTCTAACGATCGGGTTGCACACCACGTACCCATTATCGAGCAAATCGCACAACACAATCACGATACAAGAATAAATCACACTTTTATTGCTGAAACATCATTAACTATAAAAGAAATTACAATATAGTTCGTCTTGAGAGATATCATCATTCTAACTTATTAACCCAACGCTATCTAGGTTTACCCTTGTTCAGTCCCTATATTAATATCAGAGTTATATTTGATTTTGTTCCTAGTATATATAGGCGTAATCATACTTGATAACAGTGATTTTGTTCCCAGTATATATAGGCATAATCATACTTGATAATCATCATCTGGTTTCCCTTTCTATTTATACGAGCAGGTGGCCCCGCCGACTTTGTCAAATAGTCTAGGTTAATAGGCCATTTGTTTGCAATGATTTATTTAAATAGTATTATATGAAAAAAATCACCATACTTTTCGCATTACTCTGCCATATATTTTTGCTCCAGGCAAACTGACAAAGAAATGGGTTCATACATTTTGTTACCAACATAGATAACCTTTCCAGACAATCTCAGATCTGAATCCATACACAGCATTTCTAAAACTTCATATCCAGCTAATGGTACCAGCAGCCCTTGCTTTTTAAAAGCTTATCTTTATCAACCGAATTTTAAAACTGTAATAATGGACGGCTAAAACTGCAACAATGGATGGGTTCAGTGCATGGGCTTTGCTTGTTCCAGATTTCAGCAACTGGCATACCTTTTAAAAATAGCTCTAGCTGCTTTGCTACAATGTGCAGAGAAGATAGAGCTGGTAAAGTAAAAAATAGTAGTTTCATTGGTTCCTAATTTATTATTTGAGAGAAGATAAAAACAGCTCTTTTTTTAAGGGGAAAATAAGTTTCCAGTAATCAAACAGAGCTGAATCATCAGCAATTACAACCTGGATATTTGTCGGAACGGAGGCCAAAACATGGTCCTCATCCAAAACATGGTCATCCGAATCACACACGCTACTGAGAACAGCCAGATCATGGGCCACTTTATTACAAGCACGAGGGAGATGAAATTGGTTGACTTAAAAAAGTATGGCTCGAACGGGCGCAAAAGATTACGAAGCTCGTCGGCCAAATTTTCACGGCACTGAATTCAAGAGCATTGAAGGAGACTGCTTGAACAACTTCCGCGGCGTCTGTCTCGACAATGACTTAAACGGATAGTTGCAACAGCGGCTCGGAGCCCTCGGATGCAACAGCTCTTTTACTACAGAGGAGCGAGCCAGGCCACAGATATTTCAACAGGACTTAAACGGATAGTTGTGTGCACATGGTTTCCCGGTTCAAGGTTTCAGCAATTGTGATAACGGATGGTTGGCAGGTCGAACGCAGATAGTTGTGTGCACATGCTTTCCCGGTTCAAGGTTTCAGCAATTTCAGTGCCTCACTAGCAACTACGGAGTACGGGGGTTTTAGTGTGGGACACACCAATGGATTTTTTTACTCTCAAAGTCTAAAATTCATACGGAGGGGAATCAAACTCAGACCTATGGCTGCTGCCGAAGCCACCTAACTTTGGCGGGAGTACGGGTAAGGATGGATATATCCCAAAGATCCTATATTCGTATATGTTTTAGCGTAAATATAGATATTTGTATTCATATTCGATTTTGAAAGCATCTAGACCCCTATTTGTGTTTCGATGATTAATGACGACACGAGATTACTATAACTAACGTGTGTTTTGTAGAGGTAATTTGAGTTAGATCATGATAATGGCAATTGATTGAGCAATCATGATTGTCATGCCCCTATCGATCGAAATCATTTCGAATTTCAAAGGATGGACGACAAGGTTAATGACGAACTAGTTCTAAGTGTTGTTTTGGTGTTGAAGAGATAGTTAGAGTAGTTTAAGACTTTGTTTTCCTTTGTCCGTACTATTAAGGAGGATATGGACTAGTAGCTTGATATAGGTAAGTCTAGTGGGTTAGGTGTGGTGCACACTTGTCAAACATAGCACTATGTAGCTCAGGAGTATCCCTAAGATCAATTGGAGTAAACTTCAGTCACATATGATTTTGAGTTGGAAGTGAATGGAGGGTCAAATGATTGACCGGACGCTGGTCTGGTTGTGACCGGACGCTGAAGGGGGAGTCTAGTCAGTTCATTTGATCAACTAGAGTTGTCTGGTTGCGACCGGATACTGAGTGAAAAGTGACCGGACGCTGGGTGCCTGCGTTCGGTCAACTCTAGAGAGTTCCAGAGAGGGGTTTTCCTGATTGGACGCGTCCGGTCAGTGCTGACCAGACGCTGTTCAGAATCCGATAACTGATCAGACGCTGAACAATGAAGTGACCGGACTCTGGGTGCCAGCGTCTGGTCAACATCAATAAGGTTCCAGAGAGTGTTTTTCTTGATCGGACGCAGTTAGAGTCCGGCCAGAACTTAACGGCTCTTTCTAACACAGTGGCGGGGATAACTGACCGGAGCATCCGGTCACCCCGCAGAGTGATGACTCAGCCTCTAAACGTTATGTTTTAAATGAGGGGTATAAATACTTACTCCACTCATCCAAGGACGGTCTCTTGCCCATTTGTTCAACTGAGAAACACCCTTGAGAGTGCAAAGGAGAGCAAGAGCCTATTGAGGTGATTGAGATTTGAGGGTCCAAGATTAAGGCCTTATTAATGCAAGGAGAGTAGTAAGTGTGCATCCACCTTTTCATTAGGCTTGTTGTGGTCAAGTGAGAGTTTGGGCTTGTTACTCTTGGTGATCGCCATCACCTAGATGGCTTGATGCTGATTGGGAGTTTGGTGATCATCCGGCGGAGCTTGTGGATGACCCAACTTAAGTTGTGAGCGGTTGTGGGCGGTTCACCGTGAAGGAGTGTCGAAGAATCAGCCCGTAGAGAGCATTTGATCCTTGCGTAGATCAAGAGAGAGCTATACCCTTGCGCGGGTGCTATAACGAGGACTAGTGGGGAGTGGTGACTCTCCGATACCTCGATAAAACATCATCGCGTTCCTTTCCCTCTCTTTACTTGAAGCATTTACATTTGAGCAATTCATTTCATGTCTTTATATTCCTAGAATTGCTATGCTAGAGTAGGATTAGAACTTATGGTGCAAAACTTTTGTGCGGTAGAATAATAGAATCATATTCTAGGCACAAGGGGTGAAGTGGGCTAAGTGTAGGATTTAATTATTGCAAAGAATTTAGAATTAGCCCAATTCAACCCCCCTCTTGGGCATCTTGATCCTTTCAATTGGTATAAGAGCCTCATGCTCGCTAAATTAGGCTTAACCACCTAGAGAAAGATGTTCCACGGGGATGGACCTCCTCCTATCTTTGAGGGAGATGATTTTCCTTATTGGAAAATCCATATGGAGGCTTATTTAGAAGCTTTAGATGTTGGAATTTTTAGAGCCCCTCACAAGGCTTCCCAAAACCTAAGGATCCCACACACCTTCAAGGCGATGAAGTTAATTACGAAAAATGGAATGCAAAGGCTAGAAACAACATCTTTAGAGGCCTTTGCAAAGATGTTTTTAACCATATGCGGAACCACAAGGAAGCCCATGCACTATGGTCGGACATTTGTGCGCTCCATGAGAGAATAAAGAGTGAGCATGAGGAACGCTATCATCTTGTTATGAAAAAGCTTAATTCATTTGAGATGCTTCCTAAAGAAAGTGCTAATGAGATGTATTCACACTTGAATGTTCTTGTATAGAAAGTCAATGGGCTTGGACTCACACAAATACAACCATCCGATGTTGTAAGAAAGATCTTGAGTGTCCTTCCCATTAATAAATATGGGCATATTGTGACTGTGCTTTATAAAGGTGATCTTTCCATCGCTACACCAACTCAAATTTTGGGAAAGATCAATGCACACGAGATGTATATGTACATCACACCACAAGATGGCTCTTCTTCCACGAAGAAGAAAGACTTGGCATTCATGGCTAACCAAGAGAAGAAGGGCAAAGCAAGAGTTGAACATGAGAGCTCAAGTGATGATGAAATTGATGATGCAAGTCTTGCTCTCATGGTGAGAAGAACCGCTAAGATGCTTAAGAAGCTCAACAAGAATGGTGTCAAGTTTGATGGTAAGAAGAAAAAATTCTTCACTAGCAATAGAAGGAAGCCAATCTCTGAGATGGATTGCTATAATTGTGGAGAACTTGGTCATCTAGCTCATCAATGTCCCAAGCCCAAGAAACACAAGTACAAAAAGAAGTACAAAGGCAAGAAAGATGACTCAAGTGATGAAGATGATGATGAGAAGAAGAAAAACAAGTCATACAAGAAGAATGATGGCAAGAAGAAGGATTTCCACAAGAAGAAGAAGAATGGCAAGGCATACATCGTTGGTGATTGGCTCACGGATATTGATTAATCA